AAACGTCGCGATCTACATCTCAAGTGACTACATCGTGAGACAAACGATAATACACTTTATTATTGCCTCTACCACGATGAATAACAACAACCTTTTCCTCGGCATTAATTTTCATGACCAGCGTCCACCCACCTCCTCCGCATGCTCCAAGACCAGAGTTTGTCACGTGACAGTACACAGGAATGTTTTCAGAATCCGTTTGAATTAGGTATGCTTTGTTTTCTCTGATGGTAAAACAAGTATTTTTAGCAAAAGAAAAAAAATGATACCAAAATATGATTTCGAAGAGTTAGTTCATCTGCTGCTGCAAGTAGTTTTACCCTCTTTGTTTTGGGGTGACATTGTAAACACACTTTTTGGGTAATTTGCAATTGTTTGGCTATCTCTAAGTTATGTTTGGCTATCTCTAAGTTATGATCTTATGCAAAACTATGATAGCTAATGTTATAGAAAATTTGCATGGTATCACTCACTTGTGATTCGTGTAAACTTCCTTGCACTAGGAATATGACTGACCTGCCCAAAAAAGTATACAACAACATACATTGAGATGTAAAAACAAATGGGACAAAAAAATTTACCAGGAAATTGCTACCAGTTTTATTACTTTGACAACAATTCTCCTTTATTTCGGACTTGAGCTGTGCCAAGGTTGTCTCCATTGTTGTCACCAGAGTCGCTACTTTGCAGTTTGAATCGCCATCGACAGCTATGCTTGTAACCGCTACCAAAACGGATAACAGTGAAAGACATACCAAAATGGAGCGCATTGTCTCTAGTGATAAGTTCACGAGCTTCAAAACGACTTTAGTACCGACGCAGTAATAAATCGTTATGACTGTGTTTTCCATCGTGCGCTGGTTTTATGCAAGAGGGTGCTGTGAATGATCGACGCACGACATCTTCCCCTGTCATCTAGTTCCATCAATCACAACTTCCCACATTATCATGCCAAGCTTAAAATTATCAGACATGGTTGATTTGTATAGTTTGGCTACTAAAGTGCGTTTTATGTATTTAGTGGTTTTCTTTCAGGTTTAGCTTATACAGATGGAACATAGCACAAAAAGGCAACAAAATGTCAACTTCAAGATGGCATATTAATAAAATAACGCATTAGCTAAAGCATAAATTTTTAGTCAGTTTTGCTTGCTCCATTAGAGTGCATTTTATTTAATAAATTGATTTTCTGTCTTTCCTAATGTTATCCAGCTAAAAACTATTGATATATCATCGGAGGATTGTTCCCGGCCTTTACAATTTTCACTGAAACCGTTCGGCGCTGGGAAAATATAAAGCCCTGGCCAAACGGAGACGCAAGTTCTCAACTTGCGTCTACTTGCGACTCCGTTTGGCCAGGCCTTGCGTGCACTTGCGCTGACTTGCGATGGCTTGCGCTCACTTTGGTCAAGATCAAATTTGCACGCAAGTCGACGCAAGTTTTTTACCGTTTGGCCACCCAACCCAAGTCGACGCAAGTTGAGTGACGTCTATTAACCCATTATCAGCCAATGAAATACGGGATATGTCTGCCTTAAAATGGGTTTTTTGCGACTTTTGTGTACTTGCGAGGAAACTTGCAACGCAAGTCTCTACGCAAGTTCAACTTGCGGCTACTTGCGACCGCTCGCGAGTCCGTTTGATCAGGGCTTAAGCCTTACGATTTTGCTTTTTCGCTCCAACGTATTTCGCTTTCTTGTAAACTTTTTTAACACTGTCTGTGACAGCAGGCACGCCTACTTCCTTATGTTTCCCCAAACCTTTCCAGTCTGTTGATGTTGGAGGAATTTCTGTACGTTAGCTTCAGCGCTGTGGAAAAGCTAAACGAAACGGTAATTTGTCTAACTTTTTTGTCGAACAAATCAGGACACTTTCCAAATGACGATAATTTCTCGATCAAATCTTTCTTCTTCTTCCGTTTGTTATTCAAATCGAAGTTCCTTGCGGTAGTAAAGCAACTGTTCATTGCCATAGAAAGTTATTCTTTTCTGGAGTAATTTGTCTCTCACTATCGCCTAAACAGCATGTAGAGACCTTTGCCAATAGAGTGTTTAAGCAAGCAACCGGAACGATGATCCTGCTGGTATACGTTGGATCAATAGTGATCTAATCGACTTACATATAAAATGAAGAATACAAAAGCAGAAACCGACACAACGTAGAATGATTTTTTGAAGGTGTACTATATTTCGGCTGGCCAAACCAGCCTTCTTCAGGTACAATGAGAATTTTACATTGGGACGTGTTTTATTGTACATATTTTCGTAATACCGGAATACGTAAAACTTATGGATAGTGTAAATTGAAGATAAGCGTACGGTAAAACAAAAGAACATAATAAAGAACATAATAAAGGGAAACAATTAATATGTTTCGTCACGGATGTTCAGACCATCAGGATCAATTGTTCTGCCTTTTTGAATGAAAAAAGCTTCCCTGGCCTTACAGAGCGTGGCCAGTTATTTAGACGATTTCACCTCCAAAACCACCAGAACACTAATGAAATTGACAGTGCTGGCTACAGTTTAAGCGTGGAATCGGATAGTCAGGCTAATCAGCGCAATCAAACTGAATTTTTCCCTCAACAACGACATTGAAGCAAAAAGCAGCTTCATCGGAACAAACGAAGAAAACAAAAGATAGTTCTTTGTTTATTTGCGTGCTTAGCGATAGCGTGTTTTCAGTTTGGACCTCACCCCGCGTCTCCGGGGTTGCATCTGAAGACAAGTATTTCTTTATCACGGGTTGGTGAGGAACTTCACCTCCCTGGGGTTCCCCGCCTCCATATGCCAGATCCTTAGTAGTGTTTAAACAAAGGTTTTCCCAAAATCTCCATGCCTTCTAACCTTCTTTTTAAATGTGCAAACCAGCAGCTGTATCGATCTTGTGGAAAACACGGTCAAGGTTACTAAATTTGCAAACTGAACTAAATAAACTGATTCTCACAAACAATCGTTCAATTACTCTGACAAGAATTACGAAACACCGAACTAAAGAATTTCGTTTTGTAAAACTACAAAAAAAAAAACAACAACAACAACAACTACATTTGAAAGTGCATGGTCTCACGGAATTTTTCGGATTATTGCTCGATTTAACAATTAGAAAATATTGAACACCAATGGAGCTATCTAACTGGTTGATTTTAGTCATTGGTTTCATAGATTAACTTGCTGTGTCAGTAAATTGCAAACAGACGGTCATGATACATACGGGTCAAGTTTTATTACAGGCTCTAAAGACAGTTGCACAAATTATGACCAGATATGTTTCCTCTGTTGACTCATCTTCAATATTGTTAACGAAAACCCCAGCTGTAAGCCATGCTGAGTTTCCTGGGCCAATACCTAAATCGTGCAAGAGCGCATTGCTTTCAAACCCGTTATCCCAGTAACTAAGTCAGTGACCCCCAAGTTTTCAAACAACTGTGACACAAGTAACTCGTCATCTTACCGCAGTCAAAATTGCAACAAAGAATCTCTGCAATAGAAGATTTTCGCGCCCAAGTCCTTAACCCGATTTGAGGGGTGTATAGAAGAAATGAATGCTTAATGAGTGTCTTAAATTTGATAAAGACGCGGCTAGATTTTGCAGCCGATTTTCTACAGAAAAATAATAATAAACTTAAGGATTATTCTACAAATGAGTAGATCTACCACAAACGTTTTTGAAGCTGTTCAAAAAAACTCGCAGCATGTGTTTTACCGCTCGTTTTTTTTATAAAACATTATTTGATTTCTTTATGAATTTATTTATTTGATAAATCTCGACAGCTATCTGTTTCTCAATAAACCTGCACTTTGGGTAAGGTCATTCTCATTCTGTATCTATACATGTGTTGTCTAGCTATAAGAAGTGAATGACGAAGATGAAGGTCTGATGAATAATACACAAAACCAAAGCAGAGAGGTGGAGAAAGGGCAACCTGTTGAGACTTAAAAACAGCGAGGCAAAGATTTTCCCAAATTAAAAGCTTGCATGCGATCCCAGAACCAGATTAAATGAATAATGTTCCCTGTAATTTCTCCCACTTACTTTGTAGAGGACGTCGTTTTTAGGTGAATCTAATCTGAAAAACTCAGCCTTTTATCCTCGTGTATAAAAACGCAACTAGAATATCTAGTTCTTTGCAAGTTTTGAGATCATGGTATCGCGATCCGATCTTAGGCCCTGTTACTCTCTGAATTAGACCTTTTATCAAATGTAGAACATAACGAGACAGCAGTATCACCTTCATCCATGGAATCTGTCTAGGAAAGTATCACATTAGCGGCCTGTTTCAAGATCTGACGAGGTCTAGTTGTAAATTAAAAGGGGAGCAAAGCTTCTCTATGTAAACTGGAATGTTAGGGACATCGAATTCTATTTGATTCCATACTGACTCTGAGCTGTGATTAGTTTGGCAAATGTCGCAACTACTTGTAAATCAACTGGTTAGGATCCTCAGAAAAATTCCTTGCGGTGTGGTAAATTTGCCTGCCAAAAGAAGAATCCCTGCGTTTTAACCGTGGTACTTGAGAACAATCATGCTCGAAACATTGCGCCTTAATTAAGACACCACTGAGTCACTTTGTCCCATCACCACTTTTATTCATTTTACAGCTTTACTACATGCTTTCCAGATTTTTTAATGTTAGTGACAATTCGTTGTTGTGTAATTTGCTTTTAATTAGAAACACGAAATACAAAGTTACGAACGTCATTGAACAAAGATGTACCCCATGGCTTTGATGTGTTTGTCCCCATTATCTCCATGAAACTTAGCTTCGTTTCCACAAGTGTTGGAGTTATCATGGTGCCCTCCTGTGCCAAAGCCAACTCTGGAATCACAGCTACCGCAGTGATTTTCATTGTTGCCAAGGATACCGATTCTTGCTCTGGAATGTGGGTAGTCACTTCCAACTGCATTGAATCCTTCCTTGTTACAGTTGGACTGCAAGGAAGCCTGCGAGCCTACCAGCGACTTCCATGTGTTACGACCCAGTGAGGTGGCACGGTATTGTCCATCAGCTATCAGTCAGTACAGAGAGTTAGCATGCTTGTTGATGACAATGAACCTGATCTGATGACCGATTCTCATGCCGAGGCAGATTTTTGAGAAACGTGTGTTCCAGTAGGTCGGTAGCTTGGTCTCGTGATGGTCAAGCCCAGTCTTTCCTCCTGGAAGGTTGAAATCGGCCTTGTTACTCCAGAGTTTGGAATCGTAATGAAAGGTTGGCTGAAAAACGAAGCAGAAAGGATAGTTTGTGTAAGAATAAGTTAAATACAGAATGCATGGTAATTTTTAAGTCTTTCAGAATTTTTCAGACCACAGCGGCAGTTTTGGGATTTGGCTTGAGTGGTAAATGTTAGATGTTATTAGTGTTCACGCGCATTTAAGTAAATTACTACTGGTTAATCTAATCTGGAGACATGGTACCTTAGTTCCATCAATTTTCATGACCAGCGTCCATCCACCACCACCACATGCACCAAGACCAGAGCTTGTCATGTGACAATACACAGGAAGCTTCCCATAGTCCATTTGAAGTAAGTACGCTTTGTTTCCCCTGATGAAAGACATTTTACTTTATATATATATATATATATATATTTTTTTTTTTTTTACTATAACCAGAAATTTCGTACCAAGCAGGAACAATCACTTAGAAAACTATCACTACAATGTAGTAATGTGAACCTAACCTTAATGCTTGGTTAAGATATTTGTTGTGATGGCGAAAAAAAAAATGTAAACTTGTTTAAAGAATTTTTCCTCTCAATAGTTTCGAGCTAGAGTAAGATTTTCTCTCTAAAATATTCGCTTCCGTTTCCCTCTTTTACAAAGAGATAAAATTGGGGTTAATAATTTCAAATTACCTCCAAACAGCATTTAGCAGTGGACATTGTAACTGAAAAAAGGCAACGCTGCGAAACTCTTTCTCTTTTTCTTCTCGGTTTTTTGATGGTTAAAATTATTGAAACGACTTAGTTCAACTTACTTGTGATTCTTGTAAAATTGCTTACAAAAAGCAAATGAATGGCCTGCACAAGAAAACGAAAAACAGGATTAAAGACAAAATTAACAAGTCAGGAATAGAATAACATAAACGAGGCTTTACCTGCGGACTTTCCACGAGAAGTCTTGTTTGTTATTGTCTCCATTAGCTGCTCGAACTTTTTCTCTAGCGTTGCTACCAGGTTCGCTTCAAGGGACTTAATGGCTTCCTGAGAGGGCGAATCTTGAACCACGTTGCAGATGATAGTCTTATCATCCAGTTTAGCGGGAATCTCCTTTGACACGGTTGAAGTGTTCCCGCCATCAACAGCCATGCTTACAATCGCTGAGAGGATGGTCAACAGAACGAGGCGAACCACAATGGGGCGCATTTTGTCGAGTAATGACTCAATTCACAAGCTTCAGAGTGCTTTCGAGCTATCAGAATAGCTTTAGTTGTGATGAATAGCTGTGCTTCTCGAATGTTTATACAAGTTTACTATTTACAATACAGCCGTTGTGAGCCGAACATGAAATTTTCTCCTACCAGATACTTCTGCCAATCACACTCTCCCATTTTTCTGTTTATTCTACTTTTCACTGTTGTTGCAAATTGATCAACAAGCCTATGCTGTGTTTATTTTTACAAAACGATAGTGGACAAAAATTCACTTGATCGAAACTTTTTTAAATTGAATATTTCGATAAGCGATACGGTATTTATCTTATTCAGGAATCAGTTCAATGTGCAAATTCTTTCAGTTTGCTTAAACAACATTTAGGTACAGTTACACATTTCAATGCAAATATACGCTATTAATATTAGAACATGAATTAACTTTTACTCAGTATAAACATCAAATTATCGCCATGCAGCAAACATGGAGACGGCACGTAAGGATATTTTAGAGATACGTTGTCGCTGTAGCGAACTGACACTGCCTCCATCCAAGGAAATAATCTTTTCTGACGCTACTTTGCGTTGATCGCGACGAACGGCCAAGCACCGAAAAATTCTTCGTCTTCGACCATACAACCACCTGATAATAAAAAGGAACGAACTCTCCACGGTTACTGTCCCTACTCGCCGTTTTAATATAATTTCAAGCTTTTCAGTTAAGTTTAAAATCAATTTTGATGGCTTAAAATAATGACCTCCAACCTTAAAAAACTTAGTACTATTCAACCAGGATTTGTGCGCTTTCACTTGGAAACATCTTCATCTTACAATTTTCTGCGACTGCCAGTGTAACGATAGTTTTTTAGATCTCTTATGTGGGTCATTTTGTCATGAAGTACTACAATATAGCATTAGATAAGGCATGAATAAGATATGTATGGAATAGTGACTGATTATATTTTTTCAATCGATCGATCGCGCACGCGAATAGAACCGATCTAACCATCATCATTTCCAAGATGATATAAGTTATTGGGCACTGGTTATTCCGCTGATTTTTTAGCAAAGACGTACACCCGATAATTTTACAATGTTTTTCTGAGCTTAAGCAACACAGACTTGAAGACTGTAAAGCTGGACAAGATTGGCAATGTTACTTATCATGAACAGGGAACAAAATCAACTTCAAGATAGCACTGAAAAATTAAAATATTAGATCTAACTTAGGCTGGTACTTTTACTAGAGACGTGTATTTATTTTTATTCAGTTTTGTCTGCGGAGTTTATTTAGAACAGGCCTAATATCTGACTTCTGGCTCCTCCACCTCAAGGTTATGTTGAACTTCCCGTGTCCTGTGTCAACATTAACAAGAAAATTTTCTACCTTTTGTGTATTCCATGCGAGAAACGAAAGAGATTTCCTTTAGTTAGCGATCCACTGAAAATATATATTTTTAGCCTCCATTCTGCTTGAAGTACAATCTGTATCTAAATAGATCAACCACATTTGTGCTTTGCACCTTTTTCCCGATCATTCACCATTTCATTCAAGCTGTCAGAACTCAAGATTGTTCAGTTTTGAATTTTAATGAAGTTATACGGCTATTCAAATAAGTTGTTGATCAAGTTGATTGCGCCCGCTTTAAGCCAGACTGTCGATTGTTTTCCTTCTAATTGTGAAACGTTGTGAGAAAATCATTTAGTACCGCATGTTACGAAGTATTTGGAGTCAGCTGATGACGGTTGACAGATTTGACTTGAGACTAAAGTCGTTTATAAATCAGTCCTGAGGAACTGAACACAGAGACTTTTCTACCAAGCGAAAAATACCGAGTACATGTTAAATGTTAAGGGGGGTTCCTAGCTTCTTTGCCTGAGAGTGTCTTAATTCTATCCAGACTGTTGTTAGATTTCCGTTTACGATTAGGCGTTTCCTTACGATCAACGTCCAGTAAAAATTGAGTTGACTAAACAAAATTACTGGCTTGATTAATAAAAACCACCATGAAAATCTTACAAGGGTATTTATAACTAGTCGGTTCGGGCTCTTACCTTTTATGTCTTGTCGTTACCTTCTCATTTTCAAGACTCGGTTTCCACACAAATTTGATTGAGTCACCAGGCTCATAACTTCGAAACCTTTTCGACTTTTTCGGTCTGCATAATGCTGACAGTCATGTAGTTCTATACGTGTCACGGACATGTTTACCTAGCTTTGTTACATTGGGACTTTGAAAAGTGATTGCGTGATTTTGCATTTGCTATAACATCAAAAAGGATTCTGAGAACTGTAGGGCTATTCTTAATATCGCAAATTATTATATGGCTAGCTCCGTGTGCGGGCAAGATGAATCAAATCCTGCGCTGTGATTGGCTACCCGAGCGGGCAAGATGGAGCTATCTAACATTGGGACGTGTTTTATTGTACATATTTTCGTAATACCGGAATACGTAAAACTTATGGATAGTGTAAATTGAAGATAAGCGTACGGTAAAACAAAAGAACATAATAAAGAACATAATAAAGGGAAACAATTAATATGTTTCGTCACGGATGTTCAGACCATCAGGATCAATTGTTCTGCCTTTTTGAATGAAAAAAGCTTCCCTGGCCTTACAGAGCGTGGCCAGTTATTTAGACGATTTCACCTCCAAAACCACCAGAACACTAATGAAATTGACAGTGCTGGCTACAGTTTAAGCGTGGAATCGGATAGTCAGGCTAATCAGCGCAATCAAACTGAATTTTTCCCTCAACAACGACATTGAAGCAAAAAGCAGCTTCATCGGAACAAACGAAGAAAACAAAAGATAGTTCTTTGTTTATTTGCGTGCTTAGCGATAGCGTGTTTTCAGTTTGGACCTCACCCCGCGTCTCCGGGGTTGCATCTGAAGACAAGTATTTCTTTATCACGGGTTGGTGAGGAACTTCACCTCCCTGGGGTTCCCCGCCTCCATATGCCAGATCCTTAGTAGTGTTTAAACAAAGGTTTTCCCAAAATCTCCATGCCTTCTAACCTTCTTTTTAAATGTGCAAACCAGCAGCTGTATCGATCTTGTGGAAAACACGGTCAAGGTTACTAAATTTGCAAACTGAACTAAATAAACTGATTCTCACAAACAATCGTTCAATTACTCTGACAAGAATTACGAAACACCGAACTAAAGAATTTCGTTTTGTAAAACTACAAAAAAAAACAACAACAACAACAACAACTACATTTGAAAGTGCATGGTCTCACGGAATTTTTCGGATTATTGCTCGATTTAACAATTAGAAAATATTGAACACCAATGGAGCTATCTAACTGGTTGATTTTAGTCATTGGTTTCATAGATTAACTTGCTGTGTCAGTAAATTGCAAACAGACGGTCATGATACATACGGGTCAAGTTTTATTACAGGCTCTAAAGACAGTTGCACAAATTATGACCAGATATGTTTCCTCTGTTGACTCATCTTCAATATTGTTAACGAAAACCCCAGCTGTAAGCCATGCTGAGTTTCCTGGGCCAATACCTAAATCGTGCAAGAGCGCATTGCTTTCAAACCCGTTATCCCAGTAACTAAGTCAGTGACCCCCAAGTTTTCAAACAACTGTGACACAAGTAACTCGTCATCTTACCGCAGTCAAAATTGCAACAAAGAATCTCTGCAATAGAAGATTTTCGCGCCCAAGTCCTTAACCCGATTTGAGGGGTGTATAGAAGAAATGAATGCTTAATGAGTGTCTTAAATTTGATAAAGACGCGGCTAGATTTTGCAGCCGATTTTCTACAGAAAAATAATAATAAACTTAAGGATTATTCTACAAATGAGTAGATCTACCACAAACGTTTTTGAAGCTGTTCAAAAAAACTCGCAGCATGTGTTTTACCGCTCGTTTTTTTTATAAAACATTATTTGATTTCTTTATGAATTTATTTATTTGATAAATCTCGACAGCTATCTGTTTCTCAATAAACCTGCACTTTGGGTAAGGTCATTCTCATTCTGTATCTATACATGTGTTGTCTAGCTATAAGAAGTGAATGACGAAGATGAAGGTCTGATGAATAATACACAAAACCAAAGCAGAGAGGTGGAGAAAGGGCAACCTGTTGAGACTTAAAAACAGCGAGGCAAAGATTTTCCCAAATTAAAAGCTTGCATGCGATCCCAGAACCAGATTAAATGAATAATGTTCCCTGTAATTTCTCCCACTTACTTTGTAGAGGACGTCGTTTTTAGGTGAATCTAATCTGAAAAACTCAGCCTTTTATCCTCGTGTATAAAAACGCAACTAGAATATCTAGTTCTTTGCAAGTTTTGAGATCATGGTATCGCGATCCGATCTTAGGCCCTGTTACTCTCTGAATTAGACCTTTTATCAAATGTAGAACATAACGAGACAGCAGTATCACCTTCATCCATGGAATCTGTCTAGGAAAGTATCACATTAGCGGCCTGTTTCAAGATCTGACGAGGTCTAGTTGTAAATTAAAAGGGGAGCAAAGCTTCTCTATGTAAACTGGAATGTTAGGGACATCGAATTCTATTTGATTCCATACTGACTCTGAGCTGTGATTAGTTTGGCAAATGTCGCAACTACTTGTAAATCAACTGGTTAGGATCCTCAGAAAAATTCCTTGCGGTGTGGTAAATTTGCCTGCCAAAAGAAGAATCCCTGCGTTTTAACCGTGGTACTTGAGAACAATCATGCTCGAAACATTGCGCCTTAATTAAGACACCACTGAGTCACTTTGTCCCATCACCACTTTTATTCATTTTACAGCTTTACTACATGCTTTCCAGATTTTTTAATGTTAGTGACAATTCGTTGTTGTGTAATTTGCTTTTAATTAGAAACACGAAATACAAAGTTACGAACGTCATTGAACAAAGATGTACCCCATGGCTTTGATGTGTTTGTCCCCATTATCTCCATGAAACTTAGCTTCGTTTCCACAAGTGTTGGAGTTATCATGGTGCCCTCCTGTGCCAAAGCCAACTCTGGAATCACAGCTACCGCAGTGATTTTCATTGTTGCCAAGGATACCGATTCTTGCTCTGGAATGTGGGTAGTCACTTCCAACTGCATTGAATCCTTCCTTGTTACAGTTGGACTGCAAGGAAGCCTGCGAGCCTACCAGCGACTTCCATGTGTTACGACCCAGTGAGGTGGCACGGTATTGTCCATCAGCTATCAGTCAGTACAGAGAGTTAGCATGCTTGTTGATGACAATGAACCTGATCTGATGACCGATTCTCATGCCGAGGCAGATTTTTGAGAAACGTGTGTTCCAGTAGGTCGGTAGCTTGGTCTCGTGATGGTCAAGCCCAGTCTTTCCTCCTGGAAGGTTGAAATCGGCCTTGTTACTCCAGAGTTTGGAATCGTAATGAAAGGTTGGCTGAAAAACGAAGCAGAAAGGATAGTTTGTGTAAGAATAAGTTAAATACAGAATGCATGGTAATTTTTAAGTCTTTCAGAATTTTTCAGACCACAGCGGCAGTTTTGGGATTTGGCTTGAGTGGTAAATGTTAGATGTTATTAGTGTTCACGCGCATTTAAGTAAATTACTACTGGTTAATCTAATCTGGAGACATGGTACCTTAGTTCCATCAATTTTCATGACCAGCGTCCATCCACCACCACCACATGCACCAAGACCAGAGCTTGTCATGTGACAATACACAGGAAGCTTCCCATAGTCCATTTGAAGTAAGTACGCTTTGTTTCCCCTGATGAAAGACATTTTACTTTATATATATATATATATATATATTTTTTTTTTTTTTACTATAACCAGAAATTTCGTACCAAGCAGGAACAATCACTTAGAAAACTATCACTACAATGTAGTAATGTGAACCTAACCTTAATGCTTGGTTAAGATATTTGTTGTGATGGCGAAAAAAAAAATGTAAACTTGTTTAAAGAATTTTTCCTCTCAATAGTTTCGAGCTAGAGTAAGATTTTCTCTCTAAAATATTCGCTTCCGTTTCCCTCTTTTACAAAGAGATAAAATTGGGGTTAATAATTTCAAATTACCTCCAAACAGCATTTAGCAGTGGACATTGTAACTGAAAAAAGGCAACGCTGCGAAACTCTTTCTCTTTTTCTTCTCGGTTTTTTGATGGTTAAAATTATTGAAACGACTTAGTTCAACTTACTTGTGATTCTTGTAAAATTGCTTACAAAAAGCAAATGAATGGCCTGCACAAGAAAACGAAAAACAGGATTAAAGACAAAATTAACAAGTCAGGAATAGAATAACATAAACGAGGCTTTACCTGCGGACTTTCCACGAGAAGTCTTGTTTGTTATTGTCTCCATTAGCTGCTCGAACTTTTTCTCTAGCGTTGCTACCAGGTTCGCTTCAAGGGACTTAATGGCTTCCTGAGAGGGCGAATCTTGAACCACGTTGCAGATGATAGTCTTATCATCCAGTTTAGCGGGAATCTCCTTTGACACGGTTGAAGTGTTCCCGCCATCAACAGCCATGCTTACAATCGCTGAGAGGATGGTCAACAGAACGAGGCGAACCACAATGGGGCGCATTTTGTCGAGTAATGACTCAATTCACAAGCTTCAGAGTGCTTTCGAGCTATCAGAATAGCTTTAGTTGTGATGAATAGCTGTGCTTCTCGAATGTTTATACAAGTTTACTATTTACAATACAGCCGTTGTGAGCCGAACATGAAATTTTCTCCTACCAGATACTTCTGCCAATCACACTCTCCCATTTTTCTGTTTATTCTACTTTTCACTGTTGTTGCAAATTGATCAACAAGCCTATGCTGTGTTTATTTTTACAAAACGATAGTGGACAAAAATTCACTTGATCGAAACTTTTTTAAATTGAATATTTCGATAAGCGATACGGTATTTATCTTATTCAGGAATCAGTTCAATGTGCAAATTCTTTCAGTTTGCTTAAACAACATTTAGGTACAGTTACACATTTCAATGCAAATATACGCTATTAATATTAGAACATGAATTAACTTTTACTCAGTATAAACATCAAATTATCGCCATGCAGCAAACATGGAGACGGCACGTAAGGATATTTTAGAGATACGTTGTCGCTGTAGCGAACTGACACTGCCTCCATCCAAGGAAATAATCTTTTCTGACGCTACTTTGCGTTGATCGCGACGAACGGCCAAGCACCGAAAAATTCTTCGTCTTCGACCATACAACCACCTGATAATAAAAAGGAACGAACTCTCCACGGTTACTGTCCCTACTCGCCGTTTTAATATAATTTCAAGCTTTTCAGTTAAGTTTAAAATCAATTTTGATGGCTTAAAATAATGACCTCCAACCTTAAAAAACTTAGTACTATTCAACCAGGATTTGTGCGCTTTCACTTGGAAACATCTTCATCTTACA